TCACACATTTATGTGCCAACTAGTATTTTATAATTGGACCTTTAATTTCAAACCTTTCAAGTCCATTCCTCTCAACAACACCCTAACTGCATCTTTCCTCATATCATGTAGATGTCTTGGACCCCTCCTCCCTAAAAACATACACATGGAAAAATCAGACCTTATTTTCATCAGATCCTGATTTCTCATAGGCTAGAACAGATTAGACTACTTCAGCTGGAAGGGACCTAGAACAATCCTCTAGTCCAACTGCCTGACCTATTCAGAGCTGCTAAATTATGTTTTTTAAGGGCATTGTCCAAATGCCTCTTAAAGACTGGCATGTTTGGGTGATCAACTACCTCTCTAGGAAACCTGCCACAGTGTTTGACCACCCTCTTGGCAAAGAAATGCTTCCCAATTTCCAGTTTAAAACTCCTCTGGAGCAGTTTTGAACCATTCCCATGTCCTATCACTCAATAGCAGGAAAAGTACATCCCTTTCCAGTTCCACCTCCTTTCAGGTCAGGTTCTTTTCCACTAGGGAGCTTTCCCAGACACTCCTCCTCAAGCCTGTAGCATCGCACAGGGTTGTTGTGCCCCTAGGTGCAGGATCTGGCACTTGGCTTTATTGAACTTCATACAATTGGCCTCAGCCCATCAATGTTTGGGTCCCTCTGTAGAGCCTTCTAACCCTCAGGCAGATCAACACTCCCACCCAACTTGGTGTCATCTGCCAATTTGCAGAGGGTGCACTCAATCCCCTCATCTAGATCACTCAAGATGCTGAAGAGAACTGACCTCGATACTCAAGCCTTGGGGAGCACCACTTGTGACAGGCTGCCAACTGGATTTAACTCCACAACTACAATAACCTCACCACAACTTTTTGGGCCCAGACATTTGACCAGTTTTCATCCAGTGAAAAGTAAACAGGGTCTCAGTGCTTCCTAAGTTTTCCTGTACCAGTCCAGTCTGCTCCCTGGCTCACCACTGAACTGTTTTCAAGCTCTCTGGATTCCCTCCCCTGCTTTTCTCATCCTCTCAGGTTCCTTCTGTTTTCCTTTACACCCAACAGAAGCAGCCATTCTCACATGCACTGCTTTAAATTAAGACTGTTACATAAACAGTTACCAAACTCATACAGGAGGTCAGTTAGATAATACAGTATATATATCCTGGACAGGATCTACTTGAAAGACTACAACAAAGGGCTATGAGGATGATTAAGGGACTGGAACACCTACCTTATGAGGAAAAGCTAAGAGACCTGGGGCTTTTCAGTCTAGAGAGGAGAAGACTGAAGGGGGAATCTAATTAATGTCTATAAATACATGAGGGATGGGCATGAAGAAGGCAGGGACAAGCTCTTTTCACTTGTGCCCTGTGACAGGACAAGGGGCAATGAATTGAAACTCGAGCACAGGGAATTCCACCTGGAGACTTTCAAGACGTGTCTGGATTCCTGAGTGATCTGCCCTAGTTTTGGTCCTGCTCTGGCAGGGGACTTGGACTAGATCTTTGGAAGTCCCTCCCAATCCCTAACATTCTGTGATCCTTTCCTTCAGGTGTACACTCCTGTGGCATTCAAAGAGCAATCAGTTGGGATGGGTGTCCAAGCTCTTTCAAAACCAACTTGCAGTTTTTGCTAATCCTTAATATCAGGCATTTTTCCACAGAATTCTTTGTATCAAAGTTTGGCCTCCACAGAATTGAAGCCATGTGCTGAACCATGTACTGACCTTCCAGGTCAAGAAAGCCTTTGTGGAGAAAATGAGGCTGCCAGAAATCCCTCTTATGGGAAGCAGTGTCTTACCATCTCCCCTAGAAACAATGCAGAATGCGGATTCTTTCAGTGATTCATGCCATTCAGTAGCATGTAGTAGTGACAGGAGGAAGGCTAATTGTTTGAAACTGAAAGAGGGTAAATTTAGATTAGACATTAGGAAGAAATTCTTTACTGTGAGTGCAGTGAGACACTGGAATGGGTTGCCCAGAGAAGTTGTGGATGTCCCCTCTCTGGAAGTGTTCAAGGCCAGGTTGGATGGGGCCCAGAGCAACCTGGTCTGGTGGGAGGTGTCCCTGCCCATGGGAGGGGTTTGGAACTAGATCATCTTCAAGGTGTCTTCCAGCCCAAACCGTTCTATGATTCTTTGATTTTCATTCTATGAATGCTAGATAAAAGCAAGACATGGTGAGACCCAAAAGACTCACTTCCTGAGTACTAAATAGTTTTGCACTTGTTGATAATTCCTGACCTTCCAAATATCTAAAATATGAGCCTTTCCTGATGGTTATGTCTTCACTTATGAGCAGCAAGGAAAATATTTAGCAGATATCCAAATGTCTGGGACAGTGTAATTTCTCATCTGTCTGTAAAGCCAAATACAGAAAGCAAACTGTATTTCAGCAGGGTATATAAAAGCTGCAACATCTTGTAGTACTTGAGATACCATAATCCTGAAGCAGTCACACAGCCTAAGATACAGACTCATACCTTTTGCATCTTGAAGTCTCATACAGCTTTTACAATGAGGCCCTTTTCAATGATCATTCCTCTGTTTTTGTTCTAAGTAGGTGAGATTTTGATCCAATTGGTGTAATTTAAGTCAAGCTGAGACACTAAACACCTTGCAACCTTTCAGCTAGCGTTCTGCATGGCAGTGGAAGGCAGTACCACAGTACCCATCCTATTGAATAGTAGCATCCAAATTGTAGGATGAAAGGAAAAAGAGTCCTAGTGTTTATTTGCATTACACATTGCAGCAGAACACTAAGCAGAACCTGTCCCACTGTCTGTGTTTGCTTACAAATCAGTGAAAACCAGCAAAATTTGCAGATTTATAATTTAAGCCCCATACAAAGTAGGAGAAAAATGCACCTGTGCAAAAAGGTGGCTCCCAGTCTGCTACAATAGGAATGAATTTCCTTCGAGTCCTACATGAATCGATCATGTGGCTGGTGACCTTTCAGTCAATTAATTTTCAGTCCTGAACTGTGATTTATAAACATGCCTAAATTGTCTGTAGAAGTTTTCTCCAGAATACCAATGTGGAGGGGCTGGCAAGGCAGAATGATAGCTGTTTTTTCTGGTTAACAGCTATATTATATATTTGCCTCATGTTTTAGCAACACCTTAATTAAAATTTTAGTTTTAAAATAACTGATTAATCAGAAGCAGCAACTATATGAAAAAGAACATGGGTTTTGGTCAGTATTACTCATACAGCATGAAGTTTATTTGGTACAGAGCTGACTAGCAAAAAGCTAATTGCACAGAAGTGTTATCTTGCACTAATGAAATCACAAACTTGAAAGCAGATCTGTGAAAAATACTTGTCCACCACATACAACCATTCAGTACTAACATGTTGAGGAGCTGAGCAGAGCAACAAGTAGCAATCTGCTAAATTCAGGCAAACATTCCAGCAAATTTGGGTTATCAAAACTGAGGTCCATAAAGCAAGTCCTAGAGGTGAGCATCTTTGAAATTTATCTGAAAGCTTCAGATTACCATTCATAGCAAATTTAACAGATTGGAGATCCCAGAAAATGCTCCTTTTTAAAATTTGTAATGCATTGCAACAAATTCATTAAGCGGATAAATTCCAGGTATAGGTCCTCCCACCACCAATAGCTCTATGAAAGAATGAATCAGCATTCAACATTAATTGAAAGCACAAACCAGACTATATGCATAATTATGAAGAGCTTCATATATGCTCACATTATGCTACATATTTGATTCAGCTCTATTCTGCAATTTTTCAAGAGTTATAGTAGAATTAGAAAAATATAGGTTAAAAGAAATATAAAAGGCATGGACTGACTCCCTCACAAAGATCATCTAAGTAAATTATGACTTCTTATCCTGGAAAACAAGGCACCTGGATAAAAGGTGCAACAGAATTCTAATAAACTTACAAGAGACAAGAAGAAGGTGACCACCAAAAGATTTTAATCACCTCTTCCAATTCAAAAGTGAGGCAGCTTCAAATGAAACTACCTGACAATAGGTTTAAAGCAAACAAAAGGGAATATAGTTTCAGAAAACCCATAGGTATGCTCTGGAAGACAATACTACAGGATTTTGTGCTTTCAAAGGGTGTTTCTAGCTTGACTACATCTGCAGATGAAGGCCCCCTTTGTTCCAGGATGGACACAGAAAGAGCTAAACCTATATCCATCAAATGGATTTTGAGTATTCAGATTCTAATTTGTCTTTTTATTCTTCTTTCCCTCCTCTGTCACCTGAGCACAGTTGCTGTGATAAAATATCTGGCTATACAAAAATTAAGCTAATGATAGAGCAATTTTGCCTATCTACCAACCAAAAATCAAGATTCGAGGCCAGTCCTCACTTACCCAGATCCTCAGGAGTGTCGAATAACTGCTCACATAAGTAGTAGTCATCTGGATTCAAGTAAGGCAGTTGCTTCAGCAAGGTCTGCTTAGGAATGAGATATAAGACCTCTGCTATGTCCCCATCCTCAATAATTGACATCCGTTTGATCGAATTTCGAAATTTCACCTTTTCCAGCACCAATTCTTCTGTTTTACTTGATCCACACAGCTTCCCAAAGCTGTTTAAGATGGGGAAAGATGGCATTTTTATTCAGAAGCAGCTAAGGAACGGAACCTGTAGTGCATGTAGTCAGTCTGCTACTCACGGCACACTGCCCTTACCAATCCTTCTCTTTTCCTCTTATCCAGCAAAGGAGATTAAGGAAGATATATTTTTAGTGATTATCTTCAAGAGATTATGACAGTATGCTTGATCAGGTTGCTGCCATCTAAAACTATTGTAATCAGTTGCAACTAATCCCTGGGAATTAAAAAATTGGAAGCAAAACCATAAAGAGTATCTGAAAATCAGATTAATATTCAGGACAAGAGAAAGAACATAACTGAGGTATACAAGAGGATTAGTTTAAAATCAAAAAACCTTGTTGTATCAAAAATCTTATTACAGAAGAATCATCATCATAAGCTACAAAAGCACATCTGTGCATTTAATCTGCCATGCCCATGTTCCATGCAGGTCTGTACGTGTGCTGCTGTAAAAAGGTTAGAGTAAAGGTGGAGCACGTTGGTCCTTCTTTTTTTAAGGAATATACAAAGGCTGGCTAGCATCATAAGGTGGGCTAGCTTCATAAGGAGATTTCTTTGGAGAAATCCTTTCTGCAGCTTTCACTGCTTATTCCAAACAAAAGCATTTAAGTTTTCCCTTAACTATTAGGGATTGCTTTGCTTGTGCTCTTCCTCTCCACTTTCCTGTGTGGCTGACAGGAGAAGCATTGCAGATACTGTGCCAACCCTTCCTGCTTCCCTTACAAGAAGTATTTACATTAATCCAATTCCAGAGATTTGCTAATCTAATCATCTGATGAATATTTCTCCCTGGGTAAAAGCAGAGTTGATCATCAGTGGGGCTCTATAAAGTCACAGGAAATTCCAAAAAGAAATATAAAAAACACCACACCAAATCCCCAAAATAACCCATAACAAAAAACCTCTGTCTAAAACAACATTCATAATCTGCAAGAGAAAGTTACAGGTAGATCCCAGACCAGGACCTGCTCAGAGATAACCAGATAACTCAGCTAACTCCCAGAGACAACTGCATAGTGTTTGGCCCAGTCTTTCAATTCCTCTTAACATTCAGAGATGTCTATGGCTGCAAATGGACATGCTGCAATAATTGCACTACTTCTAATAAGGCTTTTGCTAAATTGTGAAAATAAAATCACCAATAGGCTTACTGAACACAGTGAGAAACTAATTCAATTTTTCCCTCAAAACCTAGAGTTCAAGAACTGTTTACAGATGGGGACAGGTTTTAAAGAGAAGACTGCCTTATTTACTATTTTTAAGAGAAAATACAATCTCATATATCCAGATTTTGATAATCTATTATTACACACCTCCTATGAGGTCAATTGTTTTTCGTTTCTCAAGTACTTCTACCTTATCTTGAAAAAAAGCCAGAAATCACAATTCCTGTTAAACAGCCATTCTCCTGGGATTTATAATAAATCACAGACACAGTGGGACAAAGCCAAAGCACCCACCGTACTAATTTTAATAGGATGATGCTCATATGTATTTGAGGAAGGGCTGGCTCAACAAATACAGCAATTCAAGTTTTGCCTTACAGTATCTTCTGTCAGATCAGAGGATTCTCTCAGGTCAGAGGTCTCAGCAAACACCATGGTTTAAGTATTCCCTCTAGGAAATGAAACTTTGCAGCAATTTTTCAATCTTTCCCAGATTTCACAACCTACTGACCTGCACACCACAGCCACTCAGTGGAAAAGAAAGATCTTTTGAAATTCCAGAAGCTTCTACCACTTCAACTGAAGGTGTATCACCATGCTGTGATTAAAGCAGAGGGGTGACTCATAGAAGACAGCTGGATGCACTCTAACACAAGTATCTCTCAGTTTAGGATAAGAGAATCATTTATTGCTGGATAATCAGAAAAGGATGTTGACATCTGACAACAGCAGTGCCAACTATCCAGCCTCACTGACACGTCAAGGTGGACTTTGCCCTTGAGGTAGGTGAGGCAAAAGCACACATTGTCCTGACATTAACTCTGCTGCTGAAGTTAATCCTCAGAAAGCAGAAAGGTGAGCTGTACAGTTTTAAACTCCTGCAACACTTGCAACAGCTTGGCTAGTGTTTTACGGCCCTAACATGTCACTATAGAAGCATCTTGCTTGATTAAAAATAAGGTCCTCTTTCCTCTGAGAAAGGCTACTCTAATGATGCCCTCGCTATTGCTGTGCTTGTCTGACAACTACCATTTCAAAGACCATACACTAGCTGCTGCTTATATCACAAAGAAAAAAATTGGTTTTTTCTTAGTGTTTTTTCAAGCACAGTGTGTGTCTTTAAGAGCCTTCATACTGTTAATGGGTAATATAAGAGGACAAGAAGTAGAAGTAAGCAAAACAAGACCAGGAAACATCACAGTGGCTTTCCAAGTCAGATGAGGGCTGTTCAGAGCAGTTGGCTTCAAGGATCAGATCCTTCTGTCCAAGGTAAAGGACAAGGCCTGCGACAGCTTTGTACCACACAATTAACAAGAACTGGGAGTCAGCCTTTGCCACTGTCTTTTTGACTCTGGCTATCTCCTACCACTTAAGTCAAGCACTTGATTAAGTGGAAAGCATTGATTTCTAATATTCTTGCTGAGGAGAAAAGAAAAAGGCAGAAAACCAAGGGCACAACTCTGCCCTTATATTTCTTGAAACATATTCTCCGGTATCCAGGGCACCCAACCCAGTAGCCTTGAGGAAATTTCCTCACTATCTGCTAAGTAGCAAACTATTTTTAAATCACAGCCAATTCAAAGCTGTGCCTAATCCAAATATTCAGTGCTGGGGCTTGAGCCTTCACAAAGCACAGCTGGAGGTGTGGGCACTTTCCAGAATGGTGGTTTTCACAAGGGACTGGGTATGGAAATTGAATTAGTCAGATTAGCTACTTTAAATACTTTATCTCATTACCAACTTTATAAATATTTTATTTATAAGTTTTTTCATCTGTCTCAAGACCATTTCCTATTCAATCCCCTTTGAATTCACTACACCAACTGGCTGCCCAGATGATAAAAACACATATATGTTTCATATACAACCAGAAATGGAGGCTTCTGTACTAATACTGCTAGAACAGAAGTAACAAAATAAAATTTGACTGCAATCCCCAAACTGCTCAATGGAATACCACACAGTGAATAATAGCAAAATATAGACACCAAGGGCTAAAATCATAATAGAAAAAATATCCCTTCATCCTCCTGAGCAACACAGAGGATTAAACTGGCCTTTCAACTAAATAAAAGCCAGAAATGTGTAGTGCACTAATGTTGTCCTTAATTGCATCTGCCATCAGAATTTAATTTCTTGCAAATGAATATCAGTGTGATTTTATTCTTGTATTGAAAGCAATGAAAACCCTAACCAAAAAAAGAAATATCAGTCAGTCATACTAGTTTAGCAAAGAAGAATCAAACTAAAAACGCAGAACACAAGGTAAAACAAAATCAATTTTTCCTTTTTCCTCATAGCACTGCAGAGGGTAACATATTTATTGCACAGGTAGGTAGCCCCAAATAACATTTCATGCATCTATCCAAGGCAACACAATTATTTTCTCCCATGTGAGAACAAGAAGGAAATAAAAAAAAAACAAACGCCCTTCATAAATGACAAACGAGCAAGCACTATACCTATTTATAACAAGAAATACAGTTATCCAAGTAATAAAATAGCTAGAGAAAGCTAAAAGCTATTCTAACACTCATGTTCACACACAAAGAATAAAGAAGCAGAAGCTTTCTACTTGTGGTAAAATTACTCCTTAAGTGCAGCTTTTTCACTTTCCAGAGACACAATTACCTTCCGCAAGACTGCAGGTTGGTATACAAAACACTCAGCTACTTACTGCAAGCTTGAGGAAACACTATCCACATAAATGAGAATTAAAAAAAATAAAAATAATCCACATTAACATCTTTAATAGCATTACCTAAATGTCCAAAACAGGCAGCCATCTTCTGGGCATACTGACACAAGCCCTTCTCACTGCATGGTTCATCACCAAGGCACTGTTCACTCATTGCTTCAGAAGAAGCTGCCTTTCTCTCCAAAGTCAACCAACTACAGCTTGCTTGAGACTGATAAGACAGAGCTTCCTCTTCCAATGCATGTCCATTAATAATTCAGGTACTACATAAAATTTGCTGAGCTTTAAAAACCCGTAGTGCTAAGCTACTTTGTGGCTTTTGAAGTAATCATATTTTAGTCCTTAAAAAGTATCTCACTTTCTTATATTCCAATAGGCTACTTAAAACATTTCCAGATTTCAACAAAATCCATTCTCTTGCTGCATAAGGAGAAATACTGTTGGAATAATGTTCAGATCAGAGAGACATTTGAAATACTCACCCAGCTCAAACATAGAAACAGAATTACCACCACTACTGAAATGTGTTACAAAATACTTCAGCAAGCACACATGCTCACTGCTGTAAGAGCACCACTAGTTCATCAAATATTATTATTATGCACCATTGTCAGTGCTATACATTTTCTAGGGATTAAAACCACAATAGAGCCCAGGTACTAACATCATCATATTTTCTGGTACTTTCCTAGCACAATGTATTTCAGAATAACTACAGCACCAAAGCCAGAAGCAACAGGAAGAGGGCATTTTCTCAGTTCACCTCCTGGGGCATGAAGCCCAGCTAATCTCATTGCTAACCTGGCTGAGAAGAAAATACAGGAGAACTGACTCAGCAATTCCACTCCAGGCCACCTGCAGGGGCCACACACACCTGTATCTGTTCTGCTTTTCAGAGGCAAAGGCATAGCAAGCACACTGACTAACTAGGGTAGAAAGCACATAAGAAAATCTATTACAAATCACACAATCAGTCACACCTACTTAGCTAAATACCTGCAGAAAGGCTTTGCCTATACTCCCTTGACTCAGTTGACCATTATCAATGAAGAGCACAAATATGCATAAATACACTCCTTGTACACCACAAGTGTTTTTCCTCCATCCACTTCATGCTTGCTGCTTCCTCACTAAGATCATACCAAAACAAGGAAAAAAACTGAGTGAAGATCATATAATGACTACAGATGTCCATATGAAGCACTGTTACAACTAAGTAGACTCTTTAAAAAGAGATCTGTGCTAGTACACCTAGATATAAATTCTACTCACAATAGATTGAAAAGCCTTATAATTAATATTTAATATTATTTCAACAATTTATTATCTATAAAAGTATAAGATATATTTTAAAAGGAGTCTGAGGCTTTGGCATCTTTTGTTGTGCTAAAGGCTGTGAAGGAGCCATACACATAGTAATTTTACAGACCACAGGTCCCTATCAAGTTAGTTTACTGTTTTCAATCCATAGAAGGTTCCATAAGGTAAGCTATACTATTACCTGTGGCAGGAGGAGCATAAAAGACCACAGAGTCACAGGATATCTCTATACCACCCGGGGACAAAAAAAAAAAAAAAAAAGAAGAGGGAAA